GCTTCACCCGACCTCGGCAGCCAAGGCGGCTTGGCCTCGTCACTTCAAATACCTGCCCTCGGAACGGAAGAACAGAAGGACTTTTTATTATTAAATGCTCTTTATTTTTATCTACATCCCGTAATTGCATAAAGATCACATCTTATTAAATATAATAAAACTATCAAGTGGGTCAACCTCATCACCTGCCCTCCTCACAGCCAAACATGGAAAAGATAAACCGACAGGCTGCTCCTGGTTTGAGGCAATATGCTTTGGGAACACGAGCATGACTCCTTTGAAGACGTGATATTTGTGACTCGTTTACAGTTTTCACGTACTTGGGCACAAACCTTTAGGAAACTTTTTTAGAAGGCCAGTGTGCAGCAAATCTGTGGATTTCTGCTTCCTCCATCATTTATTGAAACATCTCATCATATTAAAGTTAATACAAATTATATTTTTCAAGCGCTTTGTGTTAACGCTGCATTGGATTTCCATCACGTTTTAAAGACCAAGTTCTAGATCTTCCAGCTCCTGTAGAAGAGCTGTTTCTTTCTGGATCTTCTCCAGCTAGAAGAAAAAAAAAAGCACAAGATGTCACAGATGCAACTTATAATAAAATGAAACTCAAACCACATACATCTTAACAATACCTGATTTTTCTCTAGCTGTTTGCCAGCAGCTGCTTGTTCCTTCAGCTGCTCAATTGCCTTTAGTTTCTGGAAAAAAACAAACAAAAAAACCACCAAGCAAACAGCACATTAATACAAGATTATTGGTAAACCAAGAACAGAAAAAAAGTGTCTTAGAAGTTCCTGTGCTTGCAACTGCCTGATTTACCAGGGAGCAGGTCTCAATGCAGAAGGCACACTTCATTTAAGCATTTCCAGATGCTCAGTCCAGAATTTCCCAACAAAAGACATTTCTTTCAAGAACAAAACCTAGAGAACAGAATCGCTTCTTGGCCTCTGAAACACATGCACCACACATCATCTCACTGAAGGGTAAGATCCAAAATCAGAATTACTGCTCTACTATCATTATCCCTCTCCACCACACATTTTCCTCAGAAAGCCTGGAATATTAATGCAAACAGAGACCCTGACAAGGACGAGGCAGCAAACAGGAAAACAAAAAAAAGGCTCTGATAGATTATGGAAAAACAGGGAAGATTCTGTAGCCTAAACCAACCAAGCAACTTCCATTCTGGAATAATTTAACCCAAGAAATTCCACAACTAGCAGTAAGCCTCACTCATACTGTTTAGAACTTAGGGAAGAAACCAAAACCACACATCTTTGTGCCCTTCTCAGATCCAAAATCCACTTGCCAAGCAGCCCACGCGGCTCCTCTCTAGGTATGAACAGCTCTGAGCTGTGCCCAGCCCTCGGCCGCAGGACCAGGCTCTGCACACCACTCTTCACAACAGGAGACGGGGACACTCTCCCACATGCCTGTCCGTGGCTTCTGTACTGCCTACACTACTCTGGTAGGATCTTGAAGAGTTCTGGCAAGTGAGGACCTTGGCTGTTTCACAAGGTGGAAAAGTTGGTTTACAAACTCAGGGAACTGCCTTCTCTGTAAGGCTACCAAGCTCAAGTCACCTTGCAATCAGACAAGACCTTACGGACTATCTCTTGGGGCAATCTGACATCTGTTAGGGGAAGAAGAAGAAAAAAAAAAATCCCCTCACCTTTTTTAAATTCTTTATCTTCTTGTCAACTTCAGGATCCCCCGAAGTGACGGCAGGCACGGCGCTCCGCGGTGCACTCTGGGGTGCCGAGGGCTGCGCAGGTCCCTGGTTCACATCAGCTTTGGCCTCCTGTAGACAAATAAACACGCCATCTAGAAAACATTGTGGATTACAAAAGGACTGTCTCTACTCATTTTAAGGGATCCCTTTAGTATTTCCTCTTTCACTCATTTGCTGGTGTACCCAAAATACATAAGTGACTTGCTTTGTTGTACTGCATTGCCTATATATATGTACTTTCCATGAAAAACGGGTCATCTTTAACAGCTCGCATGCTGTTTCTTGTTTGGTTTCCACTTCGAGACACCAACCCTACTCAGTGCAGGGAAACATCAGGAAGGATAAGGTGGCAAACACATAGACAAATGTTTTATAAACTAGACTGGTGGGTCATTGTCTCCCAAGTAAAAGAAAGGGCTCAAAACCACTGCAAGACATTTAAAACTCTTATTTAAAGAAATCATTACTTCAGAAGTTTGTAGAAATTAGAAGGCTAAAAGCTGTTTTTTATCTACCTAGTGAGCAAAGAGGTGACACAGCACAGGCTGTCTGTGGCTGGCCCTGGTAACACACCTCAGCCTGACCTGCTGGGGATACACAGAAGCAGCAACAACTCTGTCCTCACCCCTTACCAACAATGAAAAGCCATGCAGATTGTTTGGAGGCAAAGACTCAGACCCAGAATTACTTAGTCCTAATGATTTCAGCTAACATTCACAGCAATAACCAAAGCTGTTAAGTACCTGCTCCACCCTCCCCACAGCTGTGCAGGTGCAGTGCGCGTAGAGGGCACTCAGTGCAACCCACTGTCCCTGTGCCAGTAAAACCCACTCATCTCACCCCTGAAACAACTCTTTCTGCAGTACCTGCTTAGCAGCTTTCTTTGCTTCGTGTTTCCTTTGATTTTTGAGAGCTGTTTTAGAGAGTGGCTTGTCACTGCTTCCTGATTGTGGCTTCATATTCTGAGGTGGCTCGTCCTCATGCTGAAGGATAGGCAAAAGTAAATTAAGTTACAAAACCCACATTCCATGTTGGCAAACATGTGGGTAAGGAAAAGCCCAACAGCGAACACCAAAACCTACTTAAGACAACACCACTTGTGAAGATAAGCCATAAAAAAGAGAAAGGAAGAACAAAGAAAATTTTTTTTTAAAGTATGTGCCCTCTCTCTTTCAAGGCAGCAGAAGACAGTATGAACAGCATTGCCAAGTCAGCCACTCTCAAGTCTGGATGGGACTATGCTGTACATCCTACAGATTTTATGAGAAATCTGTGAAATAAAAAAATCATGTTTTCTGTCCTGGGGAGGAAATAAAATCAAAGAGGAAGAAATCAGAAAGAAAAAAAAAAAAATGAAAGTTTGCATTCTGCTTTTGTGGACAATTTTTTAACTCAAACTTCTCATGACAGAAAAGGAAAAATGGGCTGCTGGGAGGGGACATGGAGGGGGGGGGGGGCAGTCCTTGGGAGATTATTTAGTCTTTTAGGTTTTTTTTACAAAGTAATTCTTAATTGAGGAGCTGGTTTGTTTTAAAGCATACGACAAGATTTCTTGCCCATGTAAGTAAAGAGAATTATTTTACTTAATGTATCTTTTCCCTGCCCCCTCTTCTTACTGAACATTTGCAAAGTCAGACGTTAGCTTCTTCACGAGCTGGGCAGCAGTCTTCTCTTCAAAAGCATAGGGCTCAAACTCAAAGCTCCCCAAGAGCTAAACATCATGGGTGCAACTGTTAAATGTAATTAGTTGCTACTCGGCCTACTTTGAAAACTTGCAGAAAAGAAACTCATTAGACAAGGTCACTATACTGAAACCACAGCTGACGCCAACAAACAGTTCTGTTTCTAGCAAGTAAACTTACCTTGAAGAAAGAAAAAAAAAAAAAAAAAAAGCAGTGTTATTGGGAAGACAGTCTGTCCTCCTGCCTAGCTGGGTTTAGACTAGTAAGTTGGGTCACCCACATGAGAGGTTCTCTTAACTAGAGCATCCAATTTCACCACAAGCCAAATTTGCAATTTGTTGTTCCAGTGCACGTTGTAGAGCGTGTTTTTAGTTTACAAGCGACTGTTTAAAAGGCAAGTATTTGGACCAAAGAAATTTCAGAGTTCTAGCAAAGAGTCAAAGAGGATTATCAAGAAAACCTCTCAAAAGCCCCTCAGTACTGCTGTTGGTCTGATTGCTCTCCTAGTGTCTCTCATTAAATACAGAAGGGTGAAGCAACGCAAGGGAACAAATTAGGTACCTACGAAGGTGCCGACCTACCAGCTTGGAGCTCGTGACGGGTTTGTTTCTGAGGGCTGGAGGCCGGTACGCCTGCGCGGGCTTCGGGCCAGCGCAGGGCAGCTCGCTCGGAACCGCCTGGAACTTCACTGCCTTCGCTGGGAACACGCCCTCCTGGAAGGGCTGCCAGGAAACCTGCCACATCTCTTCGTTCATCGGGACCTCGTAGCTGTGTAGCAGGGAGCCGGTGTAGTGCCATATCTTGTAGCCGTTACCGACCCGCAACCTGGGAGCACACGTAGCTGTCACAAAGTGCTCCCCGTCCGGACACCAGGCAAAGTACGTGGAATCCGAGGCTACTGGTTTGGAAATGATTTTGTAGTTTTTAACGTCCCACACTTCCATCTGTCCCCTGAGATTTCCGAATCCTGCCAGGACTAGGATGTGTCCATGGGGGCTGTAGTAGGCAGCATTGCGAGGACCGGTTCCAAAATCAAACACAGGGTCACATTTCAGGTTAAAAACTGTTGCTTTGGCAGGCATAAAACCATACACAGCACAAAACTCGACAGAATTGGGGTTCCAAACAACATCATAAATGGGACCATTTTTTGCTAAAAGGAAAAGGAAAACATGCAGCTGTAGTTAGGAGACTGTATCTTTTCAGGACAAGCAAAAATAAAATCAATAGCAACTCTGAAGTTCATGCTTTGCTAAAAAGCTGTGATCTAATTACCAACAATGAAAACAAATTCTGCTAACAATAGAGGTAAGAACAACATTTTATCTTCTGATAATTTTAGTTAAGGTTTGCAACAATAACTGCAGCCATCCCAAATTACCTCTGTAGGGTCAGCATCATCACTTTAACAGTAAGCATATTTTTCTCATGTAAAAGAGTTCCTTTTTCTTCCCCTTGTTTTTTAAGTATGATCTCTCAGGACCTTCTCAAACTGTCCCACTGGAAACCCACAAAAACAGGAACTTTATACCAGCTGGATACTAGTTCATCTTTCTTAAATCTAAGAAATATTGCATAGCTCAGTTTTGTAGAGCTAATCTAAGTTATCTTTGTACTAAGCTCACACATGATGTTTTATAAGACAGATTTTAAAGCAAGAGAGTGAACAAAAAAAATGTTTTTACACATAATGATTAAAACTTGATATTGTTAGAAGTTATTCTGGGGGTTAAAACCATAGGAGATATTGAAAAATGATGAATGGAAACTTAGGTAAGATGTACGGGATAAATAAAAACCAGAGGTCATTAAAATTTTTCACAGTCTGGGTATCTTCACAAGCATTTCAGATAAATGCCAAGTGCATTACTAACAATTCTTAAATCCAGACATTGACCCAGAATATAAAACTGCTTTAAATTGTTCATTTCTGATGTTACTCTAAGGCCTCATGATCTTCAAATACCAGGCTGTGCAATCACACTGTCAGTGTGTTTTCCCCATTAAAACCTTTTGGATGACATGAACCAAATAAAACTGCAGAGGTAAGTCTGACAGAAAACCACATTTCTGCTCCTTTCATGACAGTAGGCAGCAGGAAACAAGGGCAACTCTGGACGGGCTCCAACAGCCAAGGCCAAGGCTGCAGCACACACAGGGACTGGTCAAATGCAGCAAACCCTCTACAAATGCTAGCACGGAACTTTTCTTTTCCAATGTACTTTAAAAAATTGCTGTCACTCTGCCCCGATTCCTTGAGTAACTGTTTCAGTCGTATGTCTAGAAGTGCAGGCAGGATTATTCTGTTTGGTAACACACCTTCCTGCCCATTTTGGATTCTCAGACATTAAGCTGGCTCCATTGTCCAGGTGTTTCCATAGTAAACATGCAGAATTTCCTTCCTGTGCACATGAACACCCTCCCAAGCAAAGTATTTGTATGTATTAACTGAAAGTGTGTGCTCTCTGCCACTGACAATAAGACAAGTATATGAAGAAGACCATTTAATTCAGCTACTACAAAAAAAAAAAAAAGGGGCAAAAAACCAACTTCCCCTCAAAAAAGACCTTACTCCAAATTAAAAAAAAACAAATTCCGGTGAAGGATTTTTTTTTGTTAGTAGTTAATTTTTTTCTTTTAAAGATTACTTCATTACACTAACAAAGAAATCCCTCATACATTAAAGAAAATCTAGTGAAACAGCAAATCCCACTAGGGAGGGCTGTAACACAAGGAAAAAATGCCCAAGAGCTACTTACGCAGCTGCACGACCGCGCTTTCGCCGTTTGTTGCGATGTAGTGCAGAGTTTGCTCCCCGTAGTAAGAGGCACCTGTTTTATCAACTTCTGTACTAGCTATTACTAGCACAGCAGTGGCTAACAGAACAGACAAGAGTTATTGCAGATGATATAAACTCTCTCACAAACTACCAGCAACAAAGAGAAATTAATTAGAATATGAATTCTAGTTAGTTACTTGCATAAGTGCTGTCACTGTTCTCTTCTGAATTACTCCCAAATGTTAACCCAAAGGGAACAAGTATCTTCCTTTCTCAGATGAAAAGTGTAAGCCAAGTCTATTCATTCACTACTGAATTACAAAAAAGCAAACATACTTTTGCAGCCATAAAAAAGATTCACCTGACAAAGGCAGGAACCAAGCATCCTGACAAGTCCTTGAATAAAATACCTGAACAGGATATATTTGTACACATCTATTTTATCCAAAACTGTGTGGCCACATGAGGTTCCTACATGTATGTAAAACCTGCCCTGTATTCCAAACAATGGCAGCTGAAGTGAAACGTTTTTTTTACGAGGTTATTCTGAAACAGCTCATTGGTAACAAAGAGCAAAGCTCACAGAGGACTGTGCAAGTGAGCCCAGCTGTGACACGTCTGCATATATCCAATTTTACAGATTAAATAAAATTTATGCTCTAGTGTAACTTTATGTTTACAGTCTATGTTATCACCAGAATGCAAAATTAAATCCGGATCGGTTACTCAACTTCATAATTTAGGGTATTGAGAATCATAACCCCAACACTACCTTGGCATTAGCAGCTACCTTCAGCATTTATCTGCACATGCAGATAAAGCGCAAAACCCGCAGAGCGAGCACAGCAATTAAATCCCAAGTGGCAGGTCACAAAAAGCATACAGCTATTATACCTTTTTTGTTCCACAGCATTGTCACCTTGTCAGCTTTGAAGAAGCTCTTATTGGCCAGCGCAGACTGGGGGCCGCCGAAGCTGGGGTACTGATAGAGCCTGACAAAGGATGGGGCGCCCCGGCTGCCCGGCACATACACGGCCACCTGCAATGGAGCCACCAGACCCTGCTGCCGGCACCACTCCCGCCGGCACCGGGCCCCACACCCGCCGGTGCGTTCTACTGGAAATGGTCACTGGGGGGAGGGAAGCAACGCTACACCTACCTTGGTTGGCTGTGGTCCTGGAGATAACACGAAGTCGTTCACCTTTTGCAAATGTAGCTTATTTGCAATAGTATCTGAAAAAAACACACAGCACCAGACATCACAGAGATGACAAGGCTAGAGACAAACTGTATTGGCAAAAGCTAATGGGTCTGTACCGTGGCTAATGATGAACAGCATGTATAACAGCAATGATTTTACTAGGTAAACAACCGTTGCCTTCCCATCTCATCACACATTTTTTATTTACAAAATGAACCTGAACCAAGCCTCAGTCTCAAACACAGCATTTAATATTTACAAGCTCTCAAGCCGCACATGAACACAGCTTGTGTTTTAAGCAAAGTACAGAGTTCTTCATCTTATCTGCGCTGACCTCAGAGGAGGCAGCATCTGCCACGCCCAGATAACATGCATCATTACATTGAGCCAGGAGTTATCCACTCGCAGTTCCCTGGATGACTCTTCCTGATAGGAAGAGTTCACAAAGGCCTGTTCTGGGCTGGACGTTGCCCCTTTATACAAACAACTTTTGGGAAACACATCTTTAAATAGTAAACAAGCAGCAGCAACCCAGCACCTCATTCCAGGAAGGAAGCAGACCTCAGGTGGGAACAGACATTCCATGCTTCCCAAGCACAGCTTTGTTAACATCAAGAGGGCTAGTTCTCAGGAAACTGCATCTCTCATAGGCTGTATTTTTAGCTCCCAGAATAATTCTTGTGACAGCTTTATATTTAAAAAAGAACAAAAGCCTCAACAAAACCCCAAACCACAGTTCTCCCCCCAGCAGTTTTTATTTATACCTTTAAATTTGTTACAATTCAATCTTATCTTCCTTCTTTTTTCTTCCCCTTTCCCATTTAAACCTCCATTGACTTCAAATATTCTACCACTAGATGTAAATTTCCTTGAAAAAAATGCTCTAGCTTCACAGCTTCATTTTTGCCACCAATATAAATTTTCTAACAAGCCATTTTTTGACAGCCCATTGACAGAATACACATGAGCCAAGGAAGTCATCATAAATCACATTCTCTTTTGACAATTTTCTGGATCTCATTAAATGTAAATGATAAACAACACTGAATCAGGGCTCTTTCAATTAAAAATGAGCTGCATTTCATACTAGATAAGTCACTGAAAAGATACACAAGACAGTGAAAACATACTTTATCAACACATAATTCTGAAGTCCAAATTCAAATAGAATGTGGGCAATATGTAAAATAAAAAGCAAGCAAAACAAGAAATGAAGGAAAATTTTGAAAATTAAAAAAAAAAACAAACCCAAAAGCAGATGCCTATATAGAATGCAATTAAATGTATAAAAATACTTGCGTACTGAAGTTGTTGTTCTCAAAGAAGTGCACTTCATTGTTCACATTTCTGGCACAAATGCTTTCATCATCTGCCCAGCAAGGACACCTACATTTGAAGAAAAATAATTAGGAACACTGAATGATGATTATCTTTAGCAGTCTAGGGGCTTTTGACTCCACTTTTAAAGCCAAGCAAGTTCAAGCATGATACATGTTTCAAATAAACAAATGATATCTGCATAGTAAAAAATATACAACTAGGCTTATTTGCTGCCTCTGCAGCTTTCTCTGTGGTGCAAAGCAACAGCGAATTTATACTGAGAACAGACAATTGTTACTACAGACTTGCAAGCACAGACACTTGCTTTCAGTCAGCACCAGGAGCCATTTGGAAAGCCAATGCCACGATAAAAGCTCCATTTACCTGGATCAGATTTTGGAAACCACATTCCTTTGAAAACAATTAGCATCTGGAAGTGTTATTTACCAGTTCTGCATCTTTTTCTGGATGAAGGATTTCAAACATTTTCCTGTTTTCACCTCATGAAGGTGTAGGTTGGGTACCCCTGCCGTGCCATCATTACCAGCTGCAAGGGAAACATAGATGACAGCACTGGTCTCTGGGAATCAAATATGCCCCACCATGATCACATTATACCTCATGAGTCTACAAGCAAGAACACAATGCATTCGGTCCATTGTGCTGCAGTCACAGCTCTATCTGCAAGCCACACAAAATGGTCCTACCGTTTTTAAACTCCCTGCGCCCTCCTACTTGCTCTGACTACTACAGCCTGCTTGTTTCTACCAGTGACTGAGAAAAGACCTCCTTGCAGCTCCCCAGCTGCTCACAGCTGGCACCAGTTCTGTCCCCTGTGCTGCCTTGTCTTGCCCTACAACTCATCCCCCACACCGAGCCCATGGCCATCTCTTCCTGCCTAAGGCACCAGCTACACCGCCTGCCCCAGCTGCACAACCTCCAGGAGACAGAGGCTGTACCTAAATCAGGAACGTGAATCCCGCACTGAGGCAGAGGAGAGAGGTTTTAAAAGCCCTCTGGCCAGGGGAGAACACTCGAGTCAGCCGTGCCGTGTTGAGGACACAACAGCTCTAGCACAGCTGACAATTTTCCCTGTCTACACATGAATATAAACGGCTCCAACAGCACCTTATTCAAACACGCTCTTGGCACCGAGATCAGTAAGCAGTTTTTACAAACTTGTGATTTACTTAACAGAGTAATTGTTGGCACATGTGCTGGTGTAATGTTTGTGGCAACAGTCACACCGGGTGCTTTCAGAAGATGGCATCTCTCCCACCTTTGCTCTATACTTCATCACCCTTCTAATTTTCTGGACGCTTCCTCTACTGCTCATTTAGCCAAGAAATACGCTACGACAATGGATCAGCTAATGGAAAGGCTGCAAAGCAAGTTAAATTAAGTAGTTACCCCGTGTCCTTTTGCAATTGGTAAAATACTCACTCGTGTAGGCCTGCCACGTTGCCAGAACGTTATTCTTCGGCGAGAATTCAAGGCAAACTGCCTTTGGGAGATCGAAGGAACGCAGTAACTCAGCACTGGTGACATTAACAATATTTACTCTGGAACCAAAAAATGCTATTTCAGTAAAACATGCTTAGAATAGTCAATTAATAGACAAGGTAACTTGTCATATATTTGACTCTTCTAGATGTGTCCCACATTGGGCCACTGTAAAAAAATTAGACGAGCTTTTTTCCCCTCCTGTTTTTACTAAATGTTTGCAATAATACATTTAAAACCAGATACCTAAGCATAACAGAAACTAAGCAAAGGCACCGCTCAAAACATATCACATATTTTTCTCTGCAACATTTACACTCTGAACCAGAGGCAAGATAGACTCAATCCATAGAGTCCACCCACACTTCCACAGTGCTGAGCAAGGCCCAGCAAAAAGATTGTAACTGAATTAAATCACACATTTATCCCACGTGTTTTTAAAGGTCTTCTATCTGTAAGGGTACAACATTTAAGATTTGGGGTCTTTAATGTTGGGGATACAGGGAGACATGGACAATAAAAAGCAAAGGTCAGAAGGCTGAGCAGACAAAGTCAGACCACACCCCCGAATACCATGTATTAAAGATCTGACACATACAGAATCCAAAGAAACAAAAAAAGATCACATCAAGACGTATCCAAGCCACTGTTGTTCTCAGAAGCTGCATTAGGAGCCTGTTCCTCACCAGCCCGCTAACTGCTCCCCCTCAGCACTGAAGGGGGATGGACAGCCCCAAAACAGAGGCCTGACAGGACCGGAACAATCTGGAGTATTCTCATGTTCAGCATGGGTACCTGGATATACAACCTGGTTGTCTGAAAAACGTTTTTCCCTTACAAACCTCTTCTGGAAATGGGCCTTTCCAACTGACAAAAATAAAGCTTTTAACGAAAAATGAGGAGCCCGACTATTTCAGAGAACCAGAAACAGGAGTGAAAGTAACAAATCCTACATTTGAGCCACCTACTCTAAAAGAAATAGTTAAATACCATTACGAAATGTGTTCACAGATTTTTTTAACCTGTTACTAAGAATGGTGACATCCCAGACGAAGCCGGATGGCCTCTGCCCAGCAGCAGCCCTGCAATGTGCTCCTCTGTAAGGGCGACCTCTACTGAACTCTGCAATCCAGGTGGTCTATAAAAAAGGAACCTCGCAAGGTTTGAACAAAAGCTGCACAGACTCTTCTTAATTTTCTGTAAACTTTACCAATTGATTAGTCCCAGAAAACCAGGTACTGTCATACTGGGAACTATGAACAAAAAAACAAAAAACAAACAAAGCACATCCACGCTCCTCAGGAGTGGGTGCATTATAAATATAAGAAAAGAGTAAATATTCATCTGGTATTCAGGAACAAAGCCACCACTGCAAATAATGCAAAAATTAACTGCATTTAAAGTATGTATGCAAATGCTTCTATTAATAGCAATAGCCTGCGCACGGTCAGGAGTAAATGGGGCATAACCAATCCCGTTTAAGACACACCAAATTATTAATATGAGAAAAAGCACCAACTTTTCTCCATTGCACCAGGCAAACAGGGAACCATCCTTGCTAAAGGCAACAGCTTTGCAGTTTTTTCTGGAGTCCCTGAAGAAAGAAGCAGCACACTTTAGTATTCAAACACTGCATAAGTTAAGGTATATTTAACAAAAATAAAAGAAAACACACCAATTTCCCTGCACTTTGTCACTGTGCAACCTGCTCTGCAGTCGCTCTGTGACTGACACCTGGGCCATGAGAAGCCAGGTGGGTGCAAGGCCTTCAAATCCATCAGTTTTCTGAAGTATTGACAGTAAGAAAAAATTTGCATACATTTATACATTCTTCAACTCTAGAAACTGTTTTTACTTTTTAGAAAATTATTTCTGTTGTGGGAAAGATCAAAGATAGCAGTCATAAGAGTACCTTTGAAACGCTGTGCTCTCTGTGAAACTGGGCGGCCCGTTCACCATGTAAAGCCCTTCAGATCCTCTCACTGGAAGAGGCAACAAACAACCACTCATTTTAAATTCAGAAAATCATCCAAAACTAAAGTTCCTTCTAATTTGTGAACCTTGAGACCTGTACCCTGCATTTTAGCATTAACAAGAGAGGGTTGTAAGGGAAATTTTCTTTTCAAAGACATCACCATGCTTATAGCACTAGAAAATAAATGAGGAATGAAGACAAATTCACACAAAATCCTGCCGCCGGAATTGTTACATGTCAAGTAAACCAATATTTGTTCAGGCAGCTTTACTACAAGCATACTAAATCTCAAAAGACAAAGCAGGCAATTGTCATGCAGCTGTTAGCTAGTACTAGGTTCCAGCTCCACCCTGCGCCCTGCCCGGCCTCAAGGGCACACGCTGAGAGCACTTCAAACCCCAGCCGCCAGCTCCCCTGCCCAGCCTTGACCCCCCTCTCACTGCCTCCCCCAGGTGCCCGACAGAAAATTAAGATCTGAATTTAAAAGAGATTATAGAGAGTAGCGAGCACCCCAAAACCCACCCTGAACAACTGCAACACCTGACACACCCAAGTACAAATAAACACACTGACACTTAAAAGCCAGGAAAGGAAAAACATATTTCTGTCATGGTAAGGACAACTTAAAAAGTAAAGGAGAGAGGAAAAGAAGAGGGACTGCTAAAAGGAACGCCACAAAACGCAGCGACAATGCTGCTATTGAGCAGCTTGCAGAAGCGCCGTGGGA